CTTCACACTTCAACATAGGAATCGGACCCATTCCTTTTAGGCCATAAATGTGGTCACTTTTAAGATTTAACTGTTGACCAGGAGCCGTTAACAATTTGAGTACCAAACCTTGCAAATGTTCTCGTAGACATCTTGTCACTAAAAGCAGGTGCATCTTGAGAGAAACTTTTCTATTACCTTAGGGTTTTTATTTTCCAAAAGATCAATCATAGCGGTGATGCTTTTTAAAGATAGCGAGAAGAGGAGTAAGTCCTTGAGAAAGATTTTGGAACATCCCAAAGAGGTGCCGTTCTTTGTTTCTCTTTCGCCGTTTTTGGGAACTCTAAAAGTTCCGACTTCATATTTTAATCAAACATGCCTGTCAATATATAGAATATCATGATCTGCATGGAAATACTATGATGACTCATGCAAAAACATTTCAGTTTCAATAACAGCTGTTCGGTTTGTAGAGATAACAAGCCTGTAATCTCAAGCGTTCCCTATCTTTGTTTCTATTCTCTGCTGTAGCTGTACACCATCCTACTATGAATGATAGCCACCCGGAAGAACATCTGAGCAGTGCAGCGTCCATCGTTCTATCGCTGTGGCTCTCCTTGAGCAGTTTTGTAGCTGTAAGTGGAAACACAGTTATGTTGTGGTTGTTCTACAGGAACGAGTCTTTACGAACAATTTCCAACCGCTTTTTAGTCTCGTTATCCGTGGCCGACGTTTTGGTTGGCGTCGTCATAGATCCTGTTTGGATTGTTATCAGATGTTGGACTCAGCCACCACTTCATAGTACTCTGACTGATTTTATGATAGTGTTGTGGGTTCACACAACCGCCGCCACTACTTTCAACATTTGCTGTGTTTCAATCGACCGGTTTATTGCGATTCGGTTTCCTTTCCGTCATCAGGAAATTGTAACAAAGAAAAGATGTTACACAGTGATTATTTTGGTGTGGCTGTTTTCAATGGGTCTTCCTTTCTCGACGCTACTTATACCCGCCAAGCTTTTCTCAGAAGAGAAAACTGTTAATACTGTAGTGCTGTGTTTTTTGATAGAATTTATAGCATTTTTTCTACCATTAATAGTTGTTTCACTCTCTTATATTTCTATTTTTAAGTCGGCAACAAAACAATTTAATAGAATATTAGCAGGAGAAAAAACTACATTGCACAACGACAATTTGAGAGTTCGTTGTACGCAAAATTTTAAAGCTATAAAAACAATTGGTTTTGTTTTGGGTGCTTGTATCATCACATGGATTCCAAGTTTAATTTTGTCTTCTCTGGAAATTTATTATGTTTTGGTCAACAACCGGGATAAATATAATGCATTGCCGTTTGTTATGTGGCCTTGGGTTGAGACAATCGCTTTTACTTCATCAGCAATCAATCCATTTGTATATTACTTCCGAAATGAAGACTTCCGCCGAGCCTTTCGCCGTACCTTTCGCTGGTTGGCCCGTGGAAATAGCAAAGAAAGCACGAGGAACACTAGGCCGAAACAACTAGAAACCCGATGGAACGAATTGTTATGAGATCTGGTGATATAACGATTAAAGAGACAGAGCTCTGCCATTGATAAACGATGTTGAAATGGTCTCTTACTTTAGTTTGTTTGTTTGTTTTTTTTTTTTACTAAATAGTGATTTTAAATCTAATACAAAGATCTACTTTGAAACGATTCTTAATTCGCCTCTTTCTTTGGATATACCAGGAGAATATAAACTGCAGTTTATATTCCCTTTGAGGGGTCGGTAAATTCAATATGGCGGACGTGTGAATACACTGCAGCTGCAACACATCATTGCAAGAAAGACGCACAGGTTAATAAGCCCACTTTACTTTCCGTCATGAAAGAGGTGCTTTTTGAAGTAAATTTAAGCTGAAGTACGTACGTCATGATATCCGTTTTTATTTCCTTTTCGCTCTTTGCATCTTCGATCGCTCCATCTTTGCAACTAAAGGCATGAGTATCTTCTTTAGGACAAGCGTTTTCCCATACTCTCTGTGATTCTTATCCCACAGAGTTCTAATTTCTTTAGAGAACTGGATCAACATTTTAGTAGTGGTTACACACCATTTCAAAGAAGGAGCATCCTCGGCTTGCTCGGATTTTTTACTTTCCCTCAGGAGCAGAAGCCATTTTGAACTAGTTACTGTGAAAATTACCTTTTATTTTGTCGCAGCTTCTTGTCGTAGAAATGTACAATCGTTGCAGGAAAGATGCTCTCTGTCATTTAGTCGCTGCAGTGAGTCACACGAATTTAAACCACTTTGAACTCGTGCGGCTGATCGCAGAAACAAAATTCAATCGCAGCGACAAAGATTTCATGAAACACATCATGTCGCACAGGAAGACAATTCAGCACTTTATTTCAGGTCACGTCAGCGCATCGAAAGTGCGAAAGTTCGCCAGTCTCTCTCGTAAATAATTTTTAGATCCAAACTGTACAAACTTTCATTATAAAAGAGTTTTCTTTTTACATCTTGACGGGTTTATTGTCATAATTGACGAAAAAGTTATGGTCGGTGGCAAAAATTTGATAAGGGCAAAATTATATGTCGATCAAGTCTGACTGAACTAAAAGGAGTATTTATTTTATTTTCGTTAGAGCATCAACTGTTTACTAGTATGACGGGCACCAAGCCAATGGTTTGATGAAGTAAAAGCGATTGCCCCAACCCAAGGCCATATATGTTATCTAATTTCCCCATTGTTGTACAGCAGGTTTGCTTTAAAATTATAAAGGGTAACTAGCAGCATAACTAAACTGGTTATCTATGTGATGGTGCTTGTATCAGGCAAAAATATTTAGCTGCTAAAATGCTCCTGAATTGTTTTCTAGCTAATTTAAAAATGCATATAAAGCAAAAAAAAAAAACAGTTATAATGGAAAGACATACGATGTACATGCAAAGAAAAT